TTATGTCCCCGATGTACCTATAGAATCTTTTCTTGTTGCCCTTGACATCCCTGGCCAGATTTAATTCTATCAGGGCTTTAGCTTTCCTAACCTGATCCCTGGCTGCTCAGACAATGTCTCTGTATTCCTCCCAGGCTACCTGTCCTTGCTTCCACCCTCTGTAGGCTTCCTTTTTGTGTTTGAGTTTGTCCAGGAGCTCCTCGTTCATCCATGCAGGCCTCCTCCCTGTCTCACTTCTCTCCTTGCTCCTTTGCTTCAGCAAATACTGGATATGACCAATCGTTGTAGACCCAAGTAATTCCAATAACATGGGTATGAACAGACAATTTTATTCCCTAAGTCCCATGACTTCATAGAAAGTCACATGGAGAGATTCAGCCAATCCTCCCACCCTGTTTACAATGCATATATTTTAACAAAACGGAGGTAGCTCATTAGAGAACAACACAGATTTAGGTTTTTCTGCCACTTGTTAGGGTCGTTCCTCCAAAGCCAGAAGGAGGTGCTGCTCGGGTCCTGTCGGGCCTGAACTTCCAGCCCAAAGAAAAGGCACCACACAATGATCTGAATTGTTAAAATAAAGTAGAACAGAACCAGATATACCTGTGTTCCTACTAGTAAAAAGGGAACATTAGGTGCATATTCCTTCAACTCCGGTACCCACTCTTCTTTCACGTTTTGAAATGAAGCAGGGTTTACCACTGAGAAGCAGATAAGGAAGACATCGGTCATAGGATAAGATAAAGGTCTCAGACGATCATAGTCTTCCTGAGAAAGAAAAATTCTGTTATCTGCAATATGAAATTGTTGCTTGTATTTTGTTAATTTTAACAGTTATATTCAGAAACTGTATTCATATTTCAGGAATTTTGTTGAGGCAAACTTTCTGAATGTTTACAACTATTCTATACTATAGGTTAGTTAGTGAGGCTGTTAGAGCAAAATCTGCATATGAGGGTAACTATATGTGAATATAAGTACTTTGAAAAGTGTGTTAATACTGATAGAAACTTACTTCTGTACGAGAATATACAGAAGACTACCCTTTAAAAAGTTTTCACTTAAAGAAAAAAAAAGGCTTATGGTTCAAACATGCTTGCAAATCAAAGGTTAGCATTTGTTTGACCAAAGAGAAATAAGCAGATGTGACTGCTATAGAGCCATCCACGTTATGCAAAGCTAGGCTAGATTAAGGCTATTTAATGCACTTAAATGTTCTCTTTTGGATCATATGTAGAGGTGATATTTAAGGGCCTCCTTAGAATTTTCTTTCTGTCTCTTAGAAACCTTACTGCCCAGAAACCTACTGCCAGGGCATACAATACCGTGGCAACAGAGGCAGCTAGGAGCATTGTCCCTGTTGTAAAACAGAGTTCTCTCTAGCAAGAGAGAAAGTGGATTTTGCCATATTTTTTAGCTAAGAGCAGGAAGGAACATGCCCCAGCTTCTTTCTGCAAGGCTTCCTTTGGTCTATGGCAGTGAACCAGTGCCTTACCATTCCTACCTTAGGCTTTTTTTTTTTTTTTAAATAGATAACTAAGACTGAGCCCAGGCATTGCAGAGACAGTGAAGAATGCTGGTATTATGCTTTCTCTTCCACAATAAACACCGGTTTATTATGGCTGCCGCAGCAGCCTCCCTCTTCCCCATGTAAGCTCCCCATCTTAATTAAATCTCACAAATACTGGAACTCTCTGTAGAGACAGAAATGTAATTCAACGCCATGTTTGAAACGAGCCAGAAAATTACATTTTTGTTTCCTTGGCAACAGTCACATTACCAGATTATTAACCTATAGTTGCACCCTCAAAAAAGCCCTTCATTGATTAATTGTTAAGTTTTAAAGATAGTGTCACTAGAATTTTAGAAAACGTGAGAACTTCCTCTGAACAGTTTCTGCTAGACCCATCTTTTCATTTGGAAGTCAACAGCTATGGGAAGAGGGCCGTTATCCTCATCATGAAATGGAGAAAAGACAAGCACTGGAGGAGAGTCTGCACTAGCAAGGAGGTGACCATTTGCCAGTACTCTTCAGTGTCTGTTTACACAATATTCTTATTTGTAATCAGTATTCTCATGTGCCGTTTTGATTATAGACTCTACTGCCAGTCTTGTATGCTCTACAGTTTTCTCAATAAGCTAAAGCATGCTTAGCTGTAAACATGGGCTCCCAATTTCACCACCACAGTAGCTGACACTACTGTGAAACTACATTTGACAGGCCTTTTTGAAGATCAGCCGTCTCCCTGCTAGTGTCAGGCTCCTATCCTGATTCAAAAGAAAAAAACAGTAACTGTGTCTTTTCCACATCTGTGGACGTTCATCATAGAAAGCAGAAATAACTTTAAGAACATCACAACAGCAACTTGAAACTATTCAACATTCAATTCTTTTTTTGAGCATGTATTTTATGTTTCACTTCTACTACTGAATATAGTTAGATCCCACTCAGGGTTGCCACTCTTTTTTCTGGGGTGGAGATCAAAATCCTAAAAGAAGCTTCACAACTGCAAATTACACTGGTCCCTGGAGTACAAAAATCTGCATGCAAGAACACACAGGGAGATCCATCAGTTGCTCTCAAATTCAGCTCTACTAAATCATATGTGGGGTATTACTGAATAGGTTTTCTTAAAAAATCTAGTTTAAAGTCGTAATTTGTTCCTACTACCAAAGAGCTGCCTTCATTACACTCAACATTTTCTAAAAATCTCACAGCTGGGTTACAATAACTAGAATACTGTCTGCATTAAATGCTGGAATGGAGAAAACATTTCACTGCAACCAGAAATTGCTGTTAGTCCATTGACCTTAAAATCTCTCTTTAGTTAATCCATTTCAAATTACAGATGGACCTTTTATTCATAGCAAATACTGATCATTTTCTGATCTCAAAGCCGAGTTACATTTGCATGGTTTACTTCAAAATGTTCATATTTAGTTTATTTTTTAAAATCCCATTGGATACAAATCCTTGTACGTTTAGCCACATCTTGGTACCGCACCTTACTTCCCACATATTCTTCAGCAGTCATCTGGGAGTGAGCATTGCTACCGCTTTTTAAGGCATGTGCGTTGCGTTGCTGAACTCCTTTCCTGCCCCTGCATCTATTTATATGCCTTTTGATTTATACCCTGTCCCATCTGCGCTGGGCAAGCTGTGGGTCCATCCTATGTAATTAAGAAGTTAAACTGAAGGCAGGTACAGTGTGATTGGATACATCATGTACCACGGCCAAAGATGTACGTGGTATTCACTACAGTGACTTCACTGCATTTACGCTTACTTAAATTAACAGAGAATTTGGCTATACCCGCCAAACTTGAAACGAGTCAGTGCTGTCAGGCTCTCCTTTAAACCTTGTCTGTGCTAAGAAAATTAGGTTCGTATTGATACTAATAACGGCAGGTAATTCTAATAAAGCCTCCCACCATATGATTAGACTGGTCCTGGGTCCTCCTAAGAGAGACCCTGGCTTAAAATGTTACCAGCACCTAGTAGGCCATCTGTGCTTAAAGACTCCTTCTACTCCCCAACAGCCTCTCGGAAATAGCAATCAAACCTGAAAACTTTCTCTGATGTATTGGGCCTTAATAACTGCTGCACTTGGTAGAAGAATCTGAAATACCAAATGAATTTAGACTGAATATTAGAGAAGCCTGGAAAAATCTGATTGCTTCAACTGTAATTTATTTCCTGAATCCAGTGTAAGGGAAATAAATGTGGTTTATTCTAAAATTAAATGCAATGGCAAAATCTAATTACACTAGCCAGTCAACATAAATTCCAATTTGAGTGCATCTACACACCACACGGTACAGCAATTAGACTTCCAATCTAATTGGGGGAGGCACTGCGTGTATATTTAGGCATTAAAAATATTTAAAGAATTTAACTGGAATACTTTAAGAATGTGAATAAGATGGGCAAGAAAGCCACTAAGGACTGAAATATGCAGTACAAGTCTCAAAAACTCCAGGCTATAATAGTGAAATGGCTCATTCTCCAACATACTCTGGACTTTAGAACAAACTTGTTCACTGTTTGCTGAAGCAGATGAATACAGATAGAAAAACATGTTGAAAATACGAGAGTTGTAATAACTTTAAACAAATTGGACGCACGTATGTTGGCTTAATTAACGTTATATGGAGCTGTGATCCCTATAAAAGATACCACATTGCAGCAGGACCACCCATCATTTACCTAGTATCTCTGTGGTAACCCACGACAGCTGCCAATACAGAACAGACATGGGAAAGGAGATGAGATGGAGGAACTAATGACTTGACTTGGCTTGTCAATGACAAACTGGGAAGGACTGTTTGGATGTTTTGTTTTGTTTTGTTTTGTTTTTAAGAGGGGAGAATGGAAATTCATACTTCTAAATTTTCATTTCGCCCTAGTTTCAATATTCTGCAGGTTAAGTCTAGCATTGCCTGTATCTTAGCTCCTTAAAATCTCTCCTTTAGGTCTCTTTTTCCATGCTACAGTACCTAATAATCTGCCTCTCTGAGATTTTCTGCTGCCTTGTACTTGAATACTGAGTCACTGATTTTCACTGTATTTTGGATGCTCAGGTGGATTTGTTTTAACACGTCCAAAATTCGGCTATTTTTTTTCCTGACATTTACCTGCTCAAAAGCAGAGGTCTTGAGGAACTTTTTGTATGCAGACTGAAGAATGATATTGCAATTCTGCAGCATTATATTCTTCATTTCAAGGGTTTGCTCATACTAAAAGCAGAATGCAGTGCCGTATTTCAAGTTGTACAATTGATTTTGAATTAATACTTTTTCCCAATTCCATGGATATCAGCTGAGAGACATAGTTAAAAACACACAGACTGTATCCCTAACTCTGCCACTGACACAATATGTAGCTCTGAGCAAATTATTATCCTCTCTACTCGCATCTTCCCATCCGTAGGGGTTTGCTAGCTTAATAATGCATTAGTCTTTGCAAAGCACTCCAAAAGCCTTTGATGTACATAGCTTATGTGCAGTGGGATATTTTAAAAAAAATAAACTAAGACAAAGTGAAGTCTAATAATTTCTGGACAACCTTCTTGACCCACAAAAAGCATTATTTCCTTGTATTTGTTAGAAAACTGAAGTAAGAGGTGCAGGCATACTGAGATCCCATAGTATAGAGCCCCTGTAGCTCCCCTGTTTTATCACACTCCTCCCTGCCCAAGTTGAAGTGATGGGGACAGAGGTCCTTACCCCTCTCTCAGTAACGTGAGACCACAGGCCTCTTTCTCCTCTGGAATGGTATTAGGGTCTCTTTGTCCAATTTGGAGAGATGAAAGGCAATTAGAGGAGTCGCCTATACAGTCAATACCTTCCCACGCCTTGACCAAGACCTTTGGGGGAATTCATACCTCTCAGATCTGCTGTTACAGGTAGCAAAGAAGATGTTAACCTAGATCTGTTTGTTTGATTTTTTTTCCTTGCAGATATGAGGGCTAGTGTCTTTAAGGAAATAGGAGAAACCAAATTCTGGTATGTCATTAACATTGTGGCAGGGGCCCTCAGCAAGGTGTGTCACGCTTATGTTTTAATCCAGGCCCGGTGTTTTAGAGTCTGATGGAACCAAAGAGTTAATGATTTTATGTGTTTTGCAGCTTAGGAACAAAATTTTAACAATCCATCTCCAGTTATATCATACTGACATACTCTTATAAACAAAAGGAAAAGCCCATTTCTTTCCTATTCTGAGAAGGCATAAAGTGGATGGGAGGGAACAAAATAAAGCTTGCACCACTGGAAGAAAAACTGGAGCTCAACAACTCTAGGTTTGTGATCTCTGTGTTAGC